TTTTTATATGAGAATGTTTTATTATATAAATTGTGAATTGATAATTTAACCGAAAAATTTTCTCACTTAATGATAATATGATTTTATATTGGTTAATCTGGTTAACCAATTAACCAAACCGATTAAACTTTAGTTTGATTAATTTGATTGTTGTATTAATTTAGACGATTTGGTTGTGATATTGTATTTCCTGATTAATGAAATTTAACCTTATTTAATTTGATAATAATCATGATAACCATTTGAACAAGCTATCCAAAAGTCTTCCCAACATTATGTTGCGAAAAAATATAAGACAACAGTGCTTTGTTTTAGCATAACGCACAACGACAATTATCGTCGCCTGCAAATAAGCAAGCCTGTCGCCTACGAAACCTAGTAACCATGCACATGCAACTATACGGGCCCGGCGGAAGCTTAGTGCCTGCCTACAATCACCATAGCACTGCGAGTTTGCGCCCCCTGCGTCGACTATGGAGTAGTGTGTGCAATTGCCTGGTCTGTACAGGATCGTATTTTATCAAATTGATATTATGATCGGACCGAACTGATATTTGGACTTACTGATCTGATTTGGACCAACTAAAGCACTAAATGTAAAGATAATCCGGTCCATGATCCTAATATATCTTTTAATAGTGGATCGCAATTCTTATGAGTTTGGTCCGATCCGGACCAGACCAAACCGTAGCACATTCCTAGTCTGAAGCCAGATAAGCATGCAGCTAAAGTCATTACATATCAGAATAATTTAAGATAAGATGGTCTGGCTACAGCTAGCTAGCTAGGTCGCACATCCTGATTCATATCATATCAATCCATCTATATCTATATATATGAAAACCCCCAACACATATATATATATATATATTGATCGTGCTCTCTCTCTATATATATATATATTTCGATCTACGTACATATATATCTCTATATATATAGAATTATTATACAAGTCTTGAAGATGATGATGAAGAAGAAAGATATCCCTCTGTCTCTCATCTAGCTAGTGAGCTTGGCTCTGAACCAGAACTTTCCCAGCTGCTTTTAATTACTTCCCTGCTGCTGCCATGCACCATTAATTTGATGGTTCGATCTTCCCTTAGCGGCCCTATATATATATGATAACACTAGCCTTCCCTTCTCCCACACTGATCCAGCTGCAGCAGTTGTTCAACATGCACCAACAAAACAATCCCACATCCGGCCAGTTAATTAGATGATAGCAGATATGGTAGCCAACCCAATCGAAGCAAAAGTACAGCAGAGAGTTGGTCATTTTAGCATGCATGCATATTCCATTGTACTGACAACTATAAAAGTTGATCTAATTAATATGAACCAGTTGGGCTTACAGTTCACCAGCATGTAAATCCTTGATTCAAATTATATTTATGTAGGAAGAGATCAGATTCATCACTTTCATACTAATACAAGTTATCTGTGTTTCAGCTTTGCTTTACTATAAGCATTCATATAACCTAGCTTCAAATATAGTAAAGTATGCAGCTGTATATACATCTATCTACGTCACAGAAGCACATGGCCTTCCAGCCCTAAGCAGAAATGGAGTCTGATACATATATACCACACCGGCTGCTCAAACTTTGAAGCTCTGATTTTCCTCAATATGAGTTTGTCAAAGAGAAATTAGAAAGGAGAATTGCACGTGAACCCTTTAATTAGTAGGCCTAACATTTCCTTGTGAATCCTTACTCAAAAGTCAAGTACCTGAACGATGTGCTTTGTGGTGGTGATAAATAGGATTATACAAATAGGATTGACATAGAGATGGATGCAGACCCTGATGCCTGCTGCTCTACAACCCTAATGGCTATTCATGTGGTCGCTATCCATGAATGGCTGCCATTAATCACAAACATGAACTTCTATAGCATTTGCCTCATTGTCCCATCAAATTAAAGCAAAGAGATTCCAACATTATATAACAGAGGACAAGACATGCATGATAAGGTTATAATAAGGTTTATCATCATTCATGTCACTAAGTCAAAGTCATAAAATATTCTAACTTCGATATCATGTACCGTTTTAATCTAATATCTAGAGTTGTTGGAAGGATGTCAAAACTAAATTACTGTAGTATTTCGAATTAGATGTATTCCATCATATTTAAGTTAGCGAAGGTTTGCATAGCCATAGTCATATAATATTCTAATTAAATATCATGAATATAATGTATCTACCTCAATAGGTAGAGTTATTGGAAGAATGCCAAATTAAATACTGAAATATTTTAAATTTAGATGTATTCATTACAATTTCAGCCACCAAAAAATAAAGTATTCTTGTCATTTATCATCTACGTGCGATAAGAAATATCCGACAGGATCTGCTGGTTTTATTCACAACAGTTCATATAGGAATATGGAATTAGCTACAAGTCTACAGCGTTCTTGTTTTTTCTATGAATGATGTTATTAGTCAAGTTGGGATGAAAGCATACAAATTTGTGCTTCTTTAGCTGTAGTGACTTGATTGCACAATAAAAAACCCTAATCACCGACGGAGGTGACAAAAACAAGCCATATGACTCAACCTATACAAACATACATTAACCCTACACACTCTCTGTAGTGCTGAGCATTAATCCCACTGTAACAAAGTTATCCCTTCAAAAACATAGTACACTGTGTTGTTGGTAATGTGGATGTGAGTGGTATAATCCACACACAGCTGGGTGAAAATCACCTACTGAAACAATGTTACCCTGCAAACCGAGCAAGCAAGCACGGGAAACATGGAACGGAGATCTGAATGAAACCATGACTCATGTTACTAGCTATTAAGGTTGCAAATTAGCCAAGTAGGATCGAGTTTTGAGCTAATTTGGAGTCGACTAAGCTACTTCACTAAAATATTGAATTGTGTTTGACTCGAGCTCGGCTCATTAATAAGCTCACGAGCTCTACCCTAACTCAGCTAATCAATTAGCTTGTGTGATCGGCTTGAGTTAAGGTATCATATCATTGATTTTACTGTTTCTAATTGTTAATATAATGTTATTTAATAATAATTAGTATTTAAGCCATCTAAGATACATAAACTCTCTTTTACATTATAAATGAGACATAATTGATCACGTCACGCGCTCAAATCCTTAAACATCATATGTGGTGAGATATACAATCTAACAAAGCTACGAATTATCAATAAGCCAATGATAAACTAATAACTGATTCGCTCATAAGTTGCTAGTTCAGGTGGCTCGCTAGCCATACTGTCGAGCCAACTTCTAGCTCAAAACGAGGTAGCTCTCGAACTGAACTCAACAAACCATCAAATTGAACTGGCTCGCGAGGTTTAAGAGCCAAACAAGGCCTAGCTCAAACTCGACTTGTTAATAAACCAGGTAAGTGTAGAACGAATTTTTTCTCCAACCAAATGTGAAACCGTTCGTGAGCGGTTTGACTCATTTGCAGCCCTACCAACTATTACTATGCATGGCTAAGTATATCCGTATAGGCTGAAAACCATGAGAAAAAGGCTAGTAGCTAGCTGCTAACTGGCTCCTCAGCCACTTTAATGGTGGAGTTTGGAACAGTACTGTAAAGACACATATCCTAACAAGGGACAAAATCCTGACAGAAACAAGCCTCTTTTTTTTCCCCCCTCTCTTTAGAGGGTGACTCTCTAGTACATAGATAGCACCACTACAATTACAAAGTGCATAAAAGGCTACCTGCGGCGGCATATATCGGAATCCTCATCTTATTCCTAAACCCTTAAGCATAGATTTCGACGCAGATACTCCACAGTACCGAAACAACAATTAACTACTAACAAATGTTTAGCATCCAACTCAATACAGACACCAAAAAATTAAACAAAAGGAAAAGTTTGAGGTAGCAAACTGAACAAACATCGAAAGCAAGCATAATATTTCGACCCATGAATACGTACGGAAAGCCTAACAAAGATTTTCGTCGTGCATTTGCAGTCGTGCCAAATGGGACAACATTGATATGTGGAGTCGAAATCTGTCTTCTACTTAATTAAAACCACAAGGACATAATTCCACGTAATAATGTCTATAAAGTATAATTAACATTAAAAAAAACATGAATGGGAGAGCCAAAAATGAAGATATAAAATTAACATGCAACGTTGGGGTGACATAATCACATGGCCATTGGTTCATGGGGAGCACAAAAAATCGCAGAGAATCACGAAAGAGGCCCAAGAGGGGGGGAAAAGAAGGAGAGGAAGAAGGGGGAAAAGAAGGAAAAACTATAGTGATTTGCATATATTTAAATGTGGAATAAAATTAAAAGGCCACTTAATTAACAGTGTTTTAGTTGATTGAGAGAGATAATTGCTAGAGAGAGATAGACCCATTGTGTTACGAGATTAGACCCCTCGATCTCTTTAATTTGATTCGTTTTTCTAAATTAATTATACAAAATTAACCTCTCTATCTTCATCACCTCCACAGAAACCTGCCTAGCCTATCTATTATTTCACAACTCAAATTACTACTAGGGTTTGATGATGAGGGTTTAAAATTTTGTTTAATTTGTGTGTTATTTCATTAGCTCGCTCAAACCCAATCTTATATATTATTCTCAATTTTTGCAGTTTGAAGCCCATTTTGTAGAATCTAATTAATGACCAAGCACAGATTCAGATAGCAAACATACCTTGAAATCCATTTATCTCATGCATCATGTTATAACAGAACAGATTTGGTCGGATTTGAACCACCGACGGTAAGCGAGATAGTGAATTAGCAAAACCAAACCAAGCCTTTAGACGATTCATGTTTAGAAAAGTCACAGGCAAATGATTCGCATGTCTCATATACATAAGTTAATTTGGTGGTTCATTGAGTGTATGTATGTATGTATATAATTAGTACATGTGCATAATAATTGAGTATGTAGGCAGCTAGCTAGCCATCAAAGAGGGAAAATTATTAATAATAATAATAATAATAATAATAAATGGATTATATATATAATTAGTGTACCTCAACCTCGCAATCAGAGCGGCAGCGGGTGATTAGCCGCCGTCTTATTAGAGTCTCCAGGCAGCGGCAGCGGCAGCTTGGCGGCAAGTTGCTGCTGCTTCTTCTTCTTCTTCTTCTTGTAGGGGATCCCGCGGGCCTTGGCCTGGGACTCCCGAACCTCCCTGAGGTAGAGGCGGATGGCGCCGTTGCCGAAGGGGTTGGTGTCGGGGGAGCCGCCGTGCTCCTCGTAGGCGGCGCGGAGGCGGCCGATGAGGGCGTCGAGGCTGCCCCAGGCCTGGCGGAGCGGGCAGGTGCAGGGGGCGGGCGGGTCGGGCTGCCCGAAGAAGACGCACCCGGTGAGGTGGACCTTGGTCTTGCCGAACTGGTCGAGGTAGCGGAGGAACTCCAGCACGTGGTTGCAGTTGCAATGGGAGAGGGACACGGGCGGCCTCTGGTTCTTCAGGTACTGCCCGAACGTGTTCCAGTCCCTCCTCTTCTGCGACTCGTACCGGCTCAGCGGCGCCTGCTGCTGGGACGATCGGGACGACCCCTCTGCCCCCGCCGACGACGACATGGATTGGTGAGGGTATTTTTGGTGAGGCAGAAAGAGAGTGGAGTGTGGAAAAGGGAAATCAAAGAGACAAGTGAAGAAGAGAAGAGAAGAGAAAGAATTTTGGGGGAGGGAAAGGGGGAAATAAGAGAGAGAGAGAGAGCGGAAAGGAGAAATCGCAATCGATTGGGTCGTTTTGGTCTACTTGAGGGGACATGTAATGGGGACCCCCTTATTACGCTGCTTTTTTGTTTTTCCCACTCTCTTTTTCCTTGCCTCTCCCTTTCCAAATTGCGTCTTAATTTCCCCCCCACTTTTTCTTTTTTTGTTTTTGTTTTTCTGGACTTATTTATTATTTTCAGCTGTTGCATCATTAGTTTTGGATAACTCGTTTTGAGATAGTAATTAATTCCAATCACACTGTGTAATAAGCTGGTGTGAGTGATCCATGTTTACCATTTGATTTGAGAGTGTAGGACTCTTTCTATATATATATATATTAATTACAGCATAGATGCTAGTTGATCTTAATTAGTCTAGTTAACTCGGATAATTAGTAAATAAAACCTACCAGATCATTTTATGTTGTGTTTTTAAAAGAATAGTACAATACATTGTGTTAAGTAAACTATTTTACTAAAACATAAGTATTTTATTTCAGCATTTTGAATTTTGTTGGAAACCCTTGTCAGTGTGATGTAACGATATTGAAGACACAAGGTTTGATAGTGCAAACACTTGACGCATAAGTGATATATATACATAGATTGCGACCAACTATTAAGATAAGTGCCTGGATTCCACTTGCTTTTATATACGACTGGACTCTTATTAAAGTTGGGATTTTTCTTCGCTTCATTCTTATATTTCAATTTTCACAAAGTATAATTTGTATAATTCCTAATTTAAAAAGTTGATGTAACGATAATGCGAAAATGAGAACACCATAAAAATATTATCAAACAACGTCTGCCATCAAGTTTTTCTTAGATTACTGTTGTACGTTTCTATTTTCACAGAAAACAGTTAGTATTATTTATTATGGATCATTTGCAAAAGAAAGTTATGTGTGTTTGCCATCATGCATCAACGGTACAATCACAAACATATTATTGCTCGAATTGGAATAATGAATTATGACAAATCGGTCGATCATCTCATCGCTGCTTAAAAATCCATGGCCTCGTGATGATGAACTACTACTGATGATTCGCCAGCTGATCCATCCGTCGGTGCCACTTGCAGTGAGTCGACTCGTGACTCAGTCTCCGTGTTCTGATTGTATCATTATTGGTGTGTAAATGAAGCTATATATGGGGTTTGGTTGGGCTGCCTTGCCGATATAATATCATGATGGGTAAGGCTGACAAACTGAAGCAAAAATAAGAGTATATATGCCTTATGTTTTTTGTCGACTTAGGTTTTCAGTTTAGCTGTTTCGATTTGATTCATATTATATACGATTCTTCATCATTGTGCTGTTAATTTCTCTTTCCCTAGTTTGGATGTTAATTTCAACTTGATTCGTGGACTCAACTGATTTTGAGGTAGGATTTAGTATGAATTTGTTTATACTTCAATTAGTTGTAATACCTCATATGTTTTATGTATTGTGTAACATTTATGTTACTATATAAATTTCTGTTGTTAAATTACAGTTGAGCTCTAATAGACTTTTATTAAGGATTTGTTTGAAAAATTAGAGTCCAAATCGTACGATTGTAAAGAATCTAAAGACTATAACTCTCTAATTTGTTGAAAATTTATTTTAAAAATTCAATTTTTGGCAACTATATTTTCCACTTTAATAAAAAAAACACACAGATAAATATATATAATTTATATATTTATGAGAGATTTGATATCTCCCTGTTTAGAGATTTGAAATATGTGAACTTAAAATCTCTTATATAAAAAAAGGAAAAAATACATAAATTTCTATTGATTCTATAAATCCATACTTCAAATCTTATTCGAGCCCTAAATAAAATTCTTATAAGTAATCTCATTATCTCCATTTATTTTAGAACGTATTATTTATTAATTTATTCAAATAAATTTGTATATACCGATTTGTATGTCAAGTCTAATTATTTTATCCGATCTTTTTCATATAAAAAATATGAATATTGAGTCACCTACCAAAATATGATAGAGGTTAGGGTGCTAGCACCCATTTTGTTAGCATGATACTAACACTAGCTCCAACCAATATAAAAATTTCGTTTTAATAACTCTTTTATTCAAGGGTTGGCCACAATTAATATGGATTTATAAAGGGAGTGATACGCTTATCATTATTAAAAATATGGGTTACATACATGTATGGCGTTGTGCATTAATTTCGCGTCCTGCGTCTTGCTACAAATGGTATATGAAACAAACCACACAAAAAATATCATAAAGCAAACTAGAAAGCTTATTAAGCAAACTAGAACCTCACCACCACTGATCATCAAGCATACTAGAAAACTCAAAGCAAAAAACAAGTTTCCTGAAGCATACCAGAAATTCCATAAAGCAGCGATGTTCCGTGAAGTAGACAACAAGTTTCTTAAAGTAGATCAAAATTTCCCTCAAGCATACCACAAATTTATTAAAGCTGCCCACAAGTTTCTTAAAACAAATCACAAGTACCCTGATGCATACCAGAAATCTCATAAAGCATATCATAAGTTTATTAAAGCAGACCACAAGTTTCTTAAAGCATATACCATAGAAGTTTCCTGAAGCATGCTAGAAACCCTCATAACCAGACAACAAGTTTCTTAAAGCATACTAGAAACCTCATAAAGAAGATCAAAGTATCTTAACGCAGACAAGAAACCTCATAAACAAGACCAAAAGTTTCTTAAAGTAGACAAGAAACCTCATAAACTTGGACATATTTGTAAATTTTAAAAAGTTTGTGTATCAAAATGATATATAAAAAACTTTGGTACTAAAATATAATTTTGCATCAATATTTTTAGGACTTATATGAAAAAACAATTTTAGATACTAGTTCATATAGGCCATAATCTTTTGATACCAAACTGTAATTTGTATATGAAAGTGAAACGAATGAGCAATGAGGTAAGTAAGTTGCTAATATATACCATAGTAATGGAATGAATTAACTTTTATCACCCTACCCGGCGCCAAAAATATAGCAATTTTTTTTTTTTTTGACAAAAGATAATCATTAGATTAATAAAGAATAGATCAGTACATCCTGGAATTCAGCCAGGTTTGGAAATCAAACGAACGACATGCAATCGGGAACAAGGCCAGGGCTTTTCTAGCTACCAAATGAGCTACCCTATTGTTCCGCCGACCTACAAATCGTACAGAGAAACCAACATTAGAAGCAAAAGAGCCAAAAATATAGCAATAGCGCATTGCCATCTTAATAATTTAAATAGGATGTTGGGAGGTCAAAATTGATAAGATATATATCACTCTCATAGCTTGATACGTATCTTCTGTTCATCAGCACTAATAAAGTAATTAACAACTAATGACCAATAATAATAGTACTCTGAGAGGGGAGTGGGGAATGGAATTTGAGTGCAACCGAGTTGATGGGCTGCTTAATTATTTAATAATCTGTCCTTATTGTATTATTTGTCATTTGGTGGGTGATTTTCTCCCTTGTTGATGCGTCCTTGATTTTCCCCCTCCACCACCCTCAATTTTTTACTAAAGATCAAATTTTACTTAACCACGTTACTCATTGTTTCCCTAAAATTACCAAAACTTACAAAGGGGTTTTGAGGGACTAGGTTTGTAAGCACTTCCATGTTTAAGTTAGAGCATAGAGAAGTTGTAATAATGAATATAAAATGAGTAATAATTTAAAATGATATCTTTAACCGTATGTTACAAATTGTACATGTATCTTTTCCTACAAATTCTAGTATGGTACAAACTAATTTGTACTTTCAATGTTATAATTTGTACCTATATTTTTCGTACAAAATCATTTATGATTCAAACTGAACTTATACTTTCAAAATGTCATAATATAAATTCAACTTACACCTAAAAACACCAGCAAAATTCCTAATATAGAGCATGACTTATCGCTATGTAGGGTTGAGATATTTATAAGGACGATACAATAATTGGTACATGCAACATTTAACGTCATTGCCTGTGTTAGATTTGATGCAAATTTCACATGAGAACATATTAGTATCAAAGCCTCTTGGACTCTTTACATATAGAATTTCAAAGTCTTCACTAAAGTTACACATATGAGTTAACTGATTTATCCATTTATATAAGCTCTATACGAATCATAATAAGGCACAACCTAACATTTAAAATTAATCAACATATATGATTGTTTCTGTCGAAGTGAAAAATGTGACACAAAATCGTGTATGTTAACCAGAAGGAAGTATGATACATTGCTCAAATTTTTATAGTTAACTAGAAACTTTATGTGATACTTTTATCATCGGTAATTATAGTGTTTCTTACCAACATCTTACGTAACCTTGTCGAACATTTTAACTTTTTTGCTTCATACTCGTCGGTTTGAAACTGTATCGGACTATCCCATTATAATCTGCATTGCGAAAGTGTAAAACTCACATGAAGAATGTTCTATATGTTCGGATTCAGCCATATAACTTATACACATGAGAGAAAGAAAACTCTATCTTTGGAGGGAAAAGAGCATCCTACCTTTGATTGTTTTCCTCAGGTGGTGACAAGTAAAAAGAAACTGATCATTGCATCCTGTGCAATTAAAACTAAGGCGATGAGTAGCATACTAGGATAACCCACTTTTAATATGATTGTAGAGTACTCATCAATTTGAAAGGGAAAGCTAATTTTGCCCACAAAACAAAAAAGAGAGCTAAACCCAGGTTTTTTGCTTTCCCCCTATACAAAGCGGGTAATAGGGTCCGACGGATCCAACCAAACCATGAGAACTATCATCCCGTACCAGAAATCTTAGGATTAAAGACAATTATATAATTATAGTATTCGGTCTGATTTGATCCGATTCAGATATCACTTTATTTTTTTTATTCGTTATTTATAAAATTAATGTTATCAAGTGTTGAAGTGCATCATATTCAATTCTCTATGCCCCAATTCAAAGGTCAATTTGGTCCGATACAACCTGG